TAACCAACCTTCCACACAAACGGACTTTACTAAAATAAGACAGGAGATCTACATTACACACTCCACCTCTCTACAAAGGAAAAAGGACTGTAAGCTGTCTAAAATCCTACCTGCCACATGGGGCCACAACAATGGTACCCCTAACTCACCCAGCAATATTGTAAATTTATCCAGCTACACATTCAACCCAGCAGAAGAATCTGTCCTATCTCGGGGACTCTCTGTTTGCCCCACCGCCCCCACGAACATGATACAGTTCTGCAGTAATCTGGAAGCCTACTTTCGCCATCTCCGACTCAAAGAATACTTTCAAGATAACACTGAACAGTGCATCGATACACAGATACCCTCTCACCAACAGCACAAGAAAAAGAACTCCACCTGGACTCCTCCTGAGGGTCGAAATGACAGTCTGGACCTATACATAGAATGCTTCTGCTGATGTGCACAGGCAGAAATTGTGGAAAAACAACATCGCTTGCCTCATAACCTAAGTTGTGCAGAACGCAATGGCATCCACAGCCTCAGAAACAACCCTGACATTATAATCAAAGAGGCTGATAAAGGAGGTGCTGTTGTCATCATGAACAGGTCTGACTGCCATACAACTCGCCAATACCAAATTCTACAGGCCACTTTCCTCAGATCCCACTGAGGAATACACTAAGAAACTGCATCATCTACTCAGGACACTCCCTACACCACACAGGAACAAATCAACATACCCTTAGAGCCCCGACCGGGTTTATTCTATCTGCTACCCAAGATCCACAAACCTGGAAATCCTGGACGCCCCATCATCTCTGGAATTGGCACTCTCACTGAAGGACTGTCCGGATATGTGGACTCTCTACTCAGACCCTACGCCACCAGCACTCCCAGCTATCTCCGTGACACCACTGATTTCCTGAGAAAACGACAAAGCATTGGTGATCTTCCAGAAAACACCATCCTAGCCACCATGGATGTAGAGGCTCTCTACACAAACATATCACACACAGAGGGAATACAAGCTGTCCGGAACAGTATCCCTGATGATGCCACAGCACAACTGGTTGCTGAGGTCTGTGACTTTATCCTCACGCACAATTATTTCAAATTTAGTGACAATATATACCTCCAGACCAGTGGCACCGCTATGGGCACCCACATGGTCCCACAATATGCCAACATTTTTAGGGCTGACCTGGAACAATGCTTCCTCAGCTCTCGTCCACTCACGCCCCTTCTCTACCTATGCTACATTGATGACAGACAACCCGCCAACCTTAAGCATATTCTCACCAGCAACCACACACTGCACCATAGTAACTCTAACTCAGAAACCAATCCATGCAACAAACCTGAATGCCAACTCTGCCCACATATCTACACCAGCGACGCCATTACAGGACCTAATCAGATCAGCCACAACATCACCGGTTCATTCACCTGCACTTCCACCAATGTAATATACGCCATCATGTGCCAGCAATGCCCCTCTGCTATGTACATCGGCCAAACTGGACAGTCCCTACGTAAAAGGATAAATGGACACAAGTCAGATATTAGGAATGGCAATATACAAAAACCTGTAGGAGAACACTTCAATCTCCCTGGACACAAAATAGCAGATTTAAAGGTAGCCTCCTGCAGCAAAAAAACTTCAGGACCAGACTTTAAAGAGAAACTGCTGAGCTTCAGTTCATTTGCAAATTTGACACCATCAGCTCAGGATTAAACAAAGACTGTGAATGGCTAGCCAACTACAAAAGCAGTTTCTCCTCCCTTGGTGTTCACACCTAAGTTGCTAGAAGAGGGCCTCATCCTCCCTGATTGAACTAACCTCATTATCTTTAGACTGATTCTTGCCTACATATTTATACCTGCCTCTGGAAATTTCCACTACATGCATCTGACGAAGTGGGTATTCACCCACGAAAGCTTATGCTCCAATACATCTCTTAGTCTATAAGGTGCCACAGGACTCTTTGTTACTTTTTACAGATCCAGACTAACATGGCTACCTCTCTGATACTCAAAAATCCTGAATTTCTTATTCTTGTGCAGTTCATTAACTCCTGACAAGCCATAACTTGATTTGTGTAACACTAATATAATACAACAAAATATTATAAAGTACCTCATCCTGTATTACTTGCACACTCAAAACTCTCAATGACGTTCACAGTGCAAATGTGACTATCATATTCTACAACATGAAATGCAGGATCAGACCCATGTTCCATTATTTTCTGTCATTCTGTTCCACTTTAGATCTGCCATTATCTTTTATGATGCAAAATTTCTGTTATTAACAACAATAATAATACTTTGCACTTTATATATCCCTGTCAATCCTTACATCTCTCTGAGTGCTTCACAAAGATGCTCAGCCTGTATCTACTATCATCATAATAGAACCATGATAGTATTTTCCAGCTCTCAGTTCTATTCTGTTGCTGCTGGCACATAGACTTTGGCTGACCTCTGAGCTGCCTCCCAAACCAGCTGTTACTTCAGGTGAACTAGTTTTCAAGCATAGGAAGGGTTCATATGACCCTGCATCTCCAAGGACAGGCTCCCACACATGATGTGATACATCTCTCTTCCCTCATTACGCCTCCACCCATCTGAATTGGCTTCTGCAACACCTGAACTTGCTCCTGCACATGAACTGGGGAGTGAAGGAAACTATACAATACTGTTTCATTCCCTGAACTGACTCTGGCTTGTCCCTGAACTAGAGGTTATCAAGGGGGCAGAATTTCTTTACAGATACAAATTTCATAAAAATTTTAACAAATTTTCATTTGCCTATTTTCACTTTTCTGACTTTCACCTGCCCAAATTCTGGTCCCATACAAATTTTGATTACATCCAAACAGTATGGAATGCACTATGGACCTGATCTTCACCAGATTCTTCTTCCGTTTGTGCTGCTCCAGCAGTGCAAATCAGGTGGAAAGATGGTTTAACAGCTGGAGATTCCTTGATGTGGTGTAAGTCCCCATGTGGCACAGAGCTGTTGTAGTTGACTTTACAACACCCTCTTCCCACCAACCCAGGCTTAAGGGACAGAGCCAGATGCTTCTGTACACTAGTAATCCTTGGCCAGCAGAACAACCCGTTTGCTAGTAATGGGCAATGCAACTTAGAGTCATTCAAAGGCTGAATTTCACCAGGCAGTGAGCTGGGTGTGTAAAGGTGGCCTCTAGTCATCTTTGCTCCTCACTTGCGCTGAGCAGAGATTAAACATATTTTAGGATTCAGCCATATGTCTTTAATAGACACAATAACAACAGCTGTACAAGTAAATGAGCTTTCCCCCAAAATTCAGGTATGTTCGTATCAATAAAAGTATGCCACATTTTATCCAATTTGTTTGGAAATTTAGGGGAAGCTCTACTACTTACATTTACTCTAAACTCTCATGTGGAATGTTATTGTTTTGGGAGGATGGGGTGTATAGTATGGGGTGTCTTGTATTTTAGGTTAAAAACATTTGTAACCATTTTCTCATTTGGTTAATGATATCTCAAATGTTAAATACATTCTCCCTGTTGAAGCAATATAAATAGGCTTCATACTACTCTATGATGATTCAGACTCTTTTCTTCTGCTTTAAATAATACAAGTAAAATATCAGGACTTAAATTCTCCAGGGATTATTTCCTGGAGCCCCTGTGCCTCCCCTGCCCCCATTCGGGGCTCGAGGCTTCAGCTGCAGGCTGGGAGGTCTCGTGGCTTTAGACCTGGGGAGTTGCCTAGACTCGGGTCTTTAGCCCTGGTGTTAGGGAGCTGGGGCTTCTGCCCAGCAGGAGGCACTGGGGCTCCTGCGGGTTTGAAAATATTTACCAGAGTTCCACTCTGGATGGCTCCAGCTGAATATAAGCCCTGGAAGAGATAGGAAATAACTGGACTATTAAGAAACTTCAAGGTTATAAGTTAGGAGTCTCAGGACTTAAGCATTTATTTCTACTGAGACACTGGACTCACAATTTTTTTTAAAATAAAAAATGTACCAAATTTTGAAAATAGTTCACATATTTTCTGAATTCCTTTTTCACCATTAAATTTGTTATATTAAAATACTGTAAATTAATACACATAATTCACCTGATAGACAATACATATCTCCAGATATCACTATCACAGATGTCACAGATCAACTACAGAAGTAGTGCAACCACAGATAAACGCCTTAACTCTAAAAGTAGAAGATAATTGAAATAGGATATTTGAGACTCATTCTATGCAAAAGAAATTGGGTGTTAATCACCAAGCTACTCTGCTTAGTCCATCACAACCACTCTTGGCTTTTCAGAAAGATTCAATCTTAAATTCAGAAAGGTTTTCTGAGGAATTTATGAGAACTGGTCTGTAGATTGGGAAAAATGTGTCAGAATAAAATCTGTAGGATAGAGTTATGAGACAGTTCACCTCCATGAGTGTAATCCCTGGCTGTGCATGTTCAGGTATTACTTCCTTGAACAGACTGGAAGGTTTTCTTGTTTTGTTCACAGTAAAATCTTCGGCATGCATTATTGGTATTCCATGGAGATGGATTTTGTCATGCTAATTTCATGCTTGCAATAAGACCTTGGATTTTTGCATCTCCAGTATGTAAAGTTTTGAATCTTTCTTGGACATCTCAAGGAGAGAGCATGAGAAGACAACAGATTCTACTCCATCAGAATAGTGAAAAAGAGACAGAAACCAAGCTTAGCATCATGTGTAGTAGCAATCCCCCGCCACTAAACATGTGATGCTTTTGGATTCACTTAAAGCTTCTCTCCATCCCCCAAATAAAGGGCTTTCTAAAGCTCAATGTATTATTTTCAGAAAGTGAGTAGTTAGATTTGTGTATTTGCAGTTATTAAGGAACGTATGCTATGGTATTCACACTCCCTGTGAAAAAAAACCAAAACAATAATGCTGAATTCTTATACTTTTCCATCCACAACTGTAGAGAAACAAACACAATTATGAACATTTTGCCATACATCCATGTTACTTACGGTTGAGAGGCAGGCTGGCATTGGTCACCCCCAGCTTGTTGGCAGCGACACATGTGTAGTTGCCGAAATGCTCCTCTGTTACATTGGTGACAGTGAGAAGTGATCTTGTACTATAGTTTTTAATAGTAATTCCATGTTTACCATTGATCAGTCTAGAAGGCAAAAGGAAAATCTTCTGTAAATCATATGCCTGAAGCAATCATGTTTGCATTTTCTTTATTTGCTTATGATGCCTGACTGCTAACAGGAGCTAACAGTGGGGAACTAGCCAGTGGAATAAAGCTAACACAATGGCAGAGCTGGGGAGCACTGGCAAAGCAATAACTGGATAGTATTACATTGATACAATTTCCTGCCAATTCGTTCTACAGTCTATGGACAATAATACGATGTAATGCTTACTTTCATCTAACTACCACTGCCCTATATCACAAACCATATAGTATGACAATAGAAAGCCCAGCTTTTAAATCTTGGCACCTTAATAGGAAGGTGAAATCCTGTACTTGGATATTCAAATTGGCACATAACTGTTTAAAATATATAACTGAGTGTCCAAGTAAAGTAGTGTTGTGATAAATTTAAGTGCCAAGTCTGAAAATTGAGCCATTAGTGCTAACAAACAAAGTATAAAGCAAAGTCATCCAATTATCATAGTGTGGTCACAACGGCATCTACACAGCCTGTGGAAGCGAGCTTCCCAGATCAGGTTGATGGCCTTGGTTTGCAGGGCTCACACTACCACACTACAATTAGATGCATAGAAATGGCTCAAGTTGGAGATTGGGCTCTGAAGCCTATGGAGAGGGGTCCTCCAGCCTGAGCGGCAACTTTGAAGTGCTGAGCACTGCTCTACTTTCCTTTGTCCTGCAGCACAAAGAAAACAGAAAGCAGCCAGTTTGCATCTTTCCAGGTGAGGATTCGCCTGGTTTGAGGAAGTTTCCAGCTCCTGAGATGAAGGGCAAAGTGCCCCCTATAATAAGGCTCAAAATAAGGCTCACTTCTCCCACATTTTTTTGTTTTGGCTTTGCTGGAGAGTCCCACGCTTCCAACTAGTCCCTGTCATGCAAAAATGGTAAAGAAGCGCAGAAAGAGTTACTTACTCCTAACGCCAAACAAGGGACTTTATTAGGAAAAGGGAAACAGTATTATTCCTATCTTTACTCTGCATCTCTCTTTGCTTTACAGGAAAGCTTTTGCATGGAACTTTTTCAAGATCCTCCTCATTGGTTGTGTAGTTGTTTCTCTAAACACAAACCAGGTGTCTAGAGGAGCAACTACTTGAATTTATGGTCATTCCACAACCATGGCTACCACATTGGAGAAAGGGATATTAACCAAGATAGAAGGGGAACAGTGTTTCCAGGCAAATGAACATCAATTTTTGAGTCTTCCCACTCTCTAGATTCATCAAAGATAAGGGATACATAATTCATCCTATGTAAAAAGCAGACACTGTAGTGATAAGCACGTGTATGGATAAGAGATAGCAAACATGATTTAATATCAAGGTTTTTTAAATGGCCCAGAAAAATCCTGGGGTTGAGGGGTAGCCATGGGACTTTACCTGAGTTGAGAGGAAAATCTCAGTCTTTATCATTTATCATGGTAGGGAAGAATGCACAAGCTGCATCGAACCAAGTCAGACACAAGAGTTAGATATATGATGAAAATAACCAGCTATGCTTGATTACTCAGAGAATTGCTTATATTTCATATTAAGAGCAGAATTTTGGCTTATATAAACATGTTACTCTTTAATTTTGATATATGGAAGCAGAGAATTGTAAATCCAGGAGAGGGATGCAATCTTTTAATATTCTGCCTCAAAATGCAAATCTATCATTATTAATAGTACATCTGCATATTGATTATTGAATATTTTACTGCATTTCATTAACGCTTCTAGTTTTCATTTAATCACTATACTTTCCTGCATATAAATTAGATTTTCATTGCAGTGTGTACTTTATATTCTCAGTGTAAGTCAACACACTAAGAGTTCTGTACTGTTTTTTATATCTGTTGGCTGAGTGTATTGGCTAAACTGAAAAAGAATATATCAAATTCCAGTGGCTATGTACTGCCTTGTGGGCACTGTAAGTTCAGGAACAAAACTAAGATAACTTACTTGAAGAAAAAACAGAGGATTGAAAATTTGGTTTTGTGGGTAAGAAGAATAGTAACAAAATCCATTTTTACCTCCAGACTTGTGAAAGGCAAAATATATATTACTGTAAACGGCTATTTGCCTTCTGAAATTACAACTTTCTTTTCCTTCTTTTCCTCCACTACCCACAGAAAAACTGTGAAGCTCCTGCTTTGCAGTTCTGGGCTCCTCAAAAACTTACCACTTAGCTGTTGAACAGTGTACCATGTACGTAATGCCAAATTTACATGCAGTGTTGCATCATATATCTAGTATGTCTTTCAAAATTTCAGTGCTAAATAGTACTTTGGTGCCGCAAAGACCATTTTCACTGCTCTAGTGATCAGCAGCAAAGAAGCTAATAGAAAGCTTTGCAGGAAGGGCCTTGCATTGGGTTTTACATTGCCCAATCCAGTGGTCAGACCTGCCAAATGTAAGTGTTAAAGTCTTTTATGCTTTCATATAAACCCAACAGATGCCAGTGATCATGGCAGCTACAACAGAAGGATGTGAAAACAATATTAAACCTCTCCCCCAAAAAACCAAAAAAGTCAAACAAGAGAAAGTCTTTGGTCCACAAAGTTTGGGTCAGAGGAGAGAAAGATCCTCCAACACAGAGCCATGAGGTTCCAAGCAGTACAAGTCCTATTCTATCAACACCAAAGCCCATCTGCATTACAAGTACTGACTTTGGTGTTGCGAACTGCTTTGGCCTCTCTCAAGCTCTCCAGATGTCTGGCCACATTGCCTTTTGTGCTTCCCAGGTGTTGCCAGCAGCATATTTTGGTTAGAGCTTTTAGTCTCCGAGGCCTAATCTACCTATTAAGACAGTCATCCTTTCCCTTTATTCTGTCCTTCTTCCCCACAAAATCCCTCTTACTTTGTCCTCCCTCATTCTTCATTCCATCGCTGAATATCTCCTCCCTTCCTCATCGTCCCCTCTTATCTGCTTCCACCATGTTCTCTCCCTCATGCCACTAGCCCTTGTAGTTGCTGGACTTTGCCTGCCTCCACCTTCATGCTTCCTAGCTTCACTCTCCATGCTCACAGTCTTTGCAATGCCCCGGCTCTTTCTCTTTGTCCTCCCGGGTTTCTCCCACCCCAGCTTTCACTCATCCTCCTCACTCTTCCTCCCACACTGACTCTTCATCCCTCCTCCTGGCTCTGCTTCCTCCTACTCCTCCTCATCTCTATTGCTCCATCATCCTTTCTAATGTCTTGCCTCCCGTTGTTCTCCTCATCTCCCTCTCCGTGTTTCCTCCAGTTTGGTCCACTGGGTCCCATTTCTGTGTATTCAGCTTCTGCCACCTTCAGCTTCCCTATCACACCTAATTTCTTTTAGGTTCTTCTGTTTTCCCAGTTTCTGTGCCCCAGAACTCCCCTGTCCCTGTTCATTTCCCCACCCCCCCCTGAATTTCTGTGACCTCCAACCTGTCCCCCTGACTTATTCCTACCTCCAAATTCCTCTCCGTCTATCACAGCTCCCTCAGCGATCACAGCTGCCCTCAATTCCTGGGTCCTCTAAGGGTGGTTTTCCCCTACCTGTACCTCTTAACTCTATTTACCACTCCCAAGTGCCTCTTGAACCTTTCATCCCACTGTACCAGTCCCTTGGATGTGAAGGGGGAACTGGCTGCTGTTGCTATTGGGGAATGGAGGCAGAGTGTGCCCCTTTAGGCCCTGGGAGTCATTTAGGGTGGGTCATGGAATTTCACCAATAATTTCTGTATCAAGCTCATAACTTCTGTTTGAGATATAGCACTTATTTTAGGTTGATATCCAGCTGACTATAAGCCCAGCTCTCCTGCTCCTGGGAAAGGGATGGAGACTTGTGATTCCTACCAGAGTGCTGCCTCTAGGCTCTGTTGGGGTCTACATCATTTGTATCAAGCAAGTAAAGGAGCCTGAGGAATCTGACGTTTCATTCCCCTTAAGTTACTGGAATGGAAAATGAGCTTTCCATCTCTACCGCCAATGCCCTCCCACTCAAGAGTCTCCTCCTACTGTACCCTTATCCTCCTTTTCATGTCATTCTCTCCAAGGAATAACTCCAGTGCTTGTATCTGCTGGTGGTTCATAACTTTCTCAAGAAGTAGCACATGCAACTGACAAGGACAGTTTCACTACTTTTCTCCAGGTTTCTGAACAGCAACACTAAAATTGATCAACGTCTTATTAATTTCACTCTGCCACTGTTTGAGAAAGCTTTGAGCAGCAATAAAGGCACAGAAGCTGTCTGTCTGCAGACCAGGAAAACAGCACTGTACTGGTTAACACGGTGCAAATTTAGAAGGTTTTCTTTGCAACTATAAGGCTAGAAACATTTATTTTTAAATAAATAATAATAATACTACCTCGCTTTTATATAACACTTTTCATCAGTATATTTTAAAGGGCTTTACAAAGAATGGTCATTATCATTATATCCACTTTAAAGATGGGGAAAGTGATGCATAGAGAGGTCAAAGTGACTTGCACAAGGTCATCCAGCAGGCCAGAGGCAGAGCCAGGAACAGAACCCATGTCTCCTGGGTCCAGTCCAGGAGTCTATTATGTCACAGTGCCTCCCATGGAAATGAAAGTTTATATTCTGCTGCCTTCGTTTTTAGGATCCTGACTCCTCAGTGTTGTGTGGTGTTTGCAAGACCTGTTCACTGTCATTTTTGCTTACAACAATGTATCTTGGTCAATAAAATAACTCTAGCCATTTTTACCAGTCACTTTTCAGAGAGCAACTGCACTTTAAGAGAATGCAGCTACATCATCTTTTTGTTCACCTTGCTATATTGCACTTGAGGCCTTCCAGTACAATAAGATCTCACTTGTATTCCAGATATTATACCTAGAAACAGACTACAGAAGATCATGCATCAGTATTAGCCCCAATGGGTATTTGTCTTTAGTCTCACATTTGAATCAATTAATGTTACTATAATCTATTAGACCATTATCATGATTTTAGTCTTTATTAGGTTATTTGAAATGTATGTTTTGTTTTCTTTATCAATTTTAATGGAATTAATATTTTTAGATTAAAGACCTTTGGGCTGCCTCCCTCATAATGGTTTAACCTTGTACTGTAGACAAAGTGAAAAACTTATCAAATAGAGCTGTGTGAATAGCTGATTTTGCAGTTCAGTGGCCAAAATGAAAAATTAGAAAAATATTTTGTTTCGGGTGAACCTGAAATGAAAAAAAAAAATTGAATTTTTTGGTAAACTGAAAAAGTAAAATAAATATTGTTTCTGGCAAAATGAAACATTTTGTTCAACCTAAAACACTAAATTTCATTATCAATTTTTTTTAACTTACAAAAATTAAATAAAGTTGAAGTAAAATTTGTAAAATTGAAGTAAAAATTCAAAATTGTTTTGAATCTAAGTCTAAACATTTCATTTAGAAAATGTTGAGACAAAACATTTTCAACATTTTTTTTATTTTTTCCCCAACTGAAACAATTAGCAAATTTGCAACAAATTTGCAAAATATTTTGACTGGCCACAATCTGCATTTTTCTCCCTCCCCCCCAAAAAAAGTTTTGTCTGAAAAATTTCACCCAGCTGTATTTTCCAGGCGGTTCCAGCCCAATTAAATTAATTCAGGAGCTGAATGTTACTGCAGAATGTGTTGTCCTGGATATTAAATGGCATCTCACATCTTATGGTACGCACATCAGTGCTCTGAGATCTGCAGTGGTTGACTACTGGCTTCCAGGTGGAGTTTCAGATATTGGTATTGACAGATGAAGCTCTAAATGGAGACTGCTTTTCTCCCTGTCCCACATGCTACAGCTGAGATTTATATGGTGCTTGAACTGGAGATCCCTTAGCTTACGAAAGACAGAACTTCCCATGAAATGTTTTGTGTGAAGATGTTTTTACACTGGAGTTTACTCTTCGCCTTGGTCCAAACTAGCTTGAATTTGTTGACCTTCAGAGCATGAAGCATCTTTCTGAAAAGACGCTTATGAAGGGTGGATGGGTTGGGGTTTGAGTGGAACTTACTGATGGGGTACAATTTGTTTTGCAACTTTTTAATTTTGCTGACTAGTTGTTTTATGCAATGGGGGGTTGTGACTGTTTCTCCCCCCTTATTTTATGGACTGTATTTTGAATGGATGCCAGGGTGCCTAGAGCCTTAAAAGGCAACTTTTTATTGTGTTTAGATCCAAGTAAATGAAACAGTTTGTAAATTCAACAGTCATAGTTATTTCAGATACAGATATTCTTGGGTCTTTTTCAAACTAACCCAACACTCAATTTTGTTTTTAAATTCACTCAGCACTAATTTAGGGTCCAATCCGGGTCTCATATAGGAATGGAAGTGTTTCCATTGACTTCAGAAGGAAGTGAATTGGGCCCTAACATTTCCCGCAAGTTACTTTAGCCACGCCAATAAATAATCTGTTCACCGCTCTGCACAGTCTTTTCCTGAACTGCCTTTGAAAACTGACATTTCTCAGTTGTGCGTTACAGCAGGGAATTGGCTTTACCAGCATAGTACTGTATAGATTTTTCATCTTTCAGAGATGATACTTGCAGGGGTAGTATTGGGAAACACAGCAATGTAGGAGTAAAAAAGAAAAGTGACTTTCTTGCAAATGGGAAGGTTCTGCAATGTTCAAAAATACTAGAATCTTTGCAAATGTTCAGTATCTGCAGTGTGTCTATAAACAACATTTTAACAAAAATACTATTTACCATTAGACTTAACATAAGCATGTGCTAAAAAATACTTAAGCAATAAGAGACAATAGGGTAGTGCATTTCTGGGTGATTAAAATAAGCCTCAGGTGATGTTATAGCTGAAGCAAGAGGCAGACGGCAATGACTTTATTGTCCTGAAATGCATTGCCTGTTGTGTCTTACTGCTCTCATGAAACTGAGTTCATACATAAAAATAAGGGAATCAGTCAGATCCATGCATTTAATGGATATTACTGACATCAAATCAGGAGTCTCCAGTTGAGTCCAGACTCTATAATGTACGCAAACAGTACCGCAACATTGCTTGTAAAAAAACAACAACAACAAATCCTTCTTGAACATAATGGTAGTTTTTTTTGTATAATAAAGGGGGAGAGACAAAGTGTGGACCTTTGGGAGCAGGATTTAGGGGGTTCCCTCTAAAGAAGATAATCTTCTCTACTGTTAGTGCTAAGTCTCAGTTGCACCACATTAAAAAACCACTTTGCAACTCATCTGAGTATGGTATTCAGGACCATTCTGTGAAGTTGTGGAGCAAAGGGGACAGCTAATACTCCTATAGGGGACCAAATCTCAAGAAGAGCAGCTGGCCAGTCAGAAATGTTCTGACTAATTGTTTTCTATGAAAAATGCCCATTAATATTCTGTGTTAAATCCCAGCATTAATGGGAAGTTAAAGTTGAGAAAGCAAGCACTTAGCAGTCCAGAAATTCCAAAAGCTAAGGTGAACATTCACTTTGTCCCCTTGTGCATATGCCTTAAACACTGACAACTTAAATTTGCCCCATATTTAAATTTTGTAAAAATAAACTTTTATATAAACCTAAGAGCTGTAAAACAGTTTTCACATTAAAAATATTGCAATGAAAGCAGTTGTTTTTAAATAAAGAAAGATGCCGTGGAGGAGAGGGATACTCAAACTAGGTAGCATTAAGCACCTACAAATGAAACTGACTAAAAATAAATAAGAAAAACACTTTATTGATTTTCAGCATTCAAGATGAGAGAAAGTAAACCCTGGGCCAGATTCTCAGCTAGCATAAAGCATCCTAGCTCCACTGACTTCAGTGGCGTGATGGCAATTCACACAAGTTGGATCTGTTCCTCAGACCACAAATGGCAGAACTTGTCCCCCCCCCCCCAGCCTTTTGGTTGAACAGCCTTTTTTCAAAATAGAAGTTGGCTGTAGCTATTGTCATGATAATAAAAATTTCCTGTTTTTTTGTGATTTTTCTATCCATCTTAGGTACTTATATAGCCTCCATTATTATAGTATCTGACAACAGTGCATAATAATCTTTCCCTTCTGATTGCTGAAGGGAATGTTGGGCTTTTCTCATCTCATCCTAATGCTGGGAGAGAACTCTTCCAATGTTTCACTTGGTTTCTGTGAGAGAGAGGAGGCTTTCCATCCCTCATTCTCCAGAGGGGTTGTAATGATGCCTTGTCCTACTAGTTCCTTCCTTCTCACCTTCTGAGTAGGGAGGAGGGATTCTCAGGGTTCCCATGCTGCTGGGATTGTTTCTTTCGGTGACTTTGATTTGCACACACAACTTGGTTCCTGCACTATGTCTGATACCCAGGCATTGGGTTTAGTAGGGAGCACTGCAATGTTCAATGCAGTGTCATTAAAATATATCAGGTATTCCTCAGATGTGCTGAAAGATCTGATCTGTTTGCATGTGAGTACAGGTCCACTGGAAAAATTGAAAAGATTTTGGAGCGGGGGTTGGCAACCTTTGAGAAGTGGTGTGCTGAGTCTTCATTTATTCACTCTAATTTAAGGTTTCGCGTGCCAGTAATACATTTTAACGTTTTTAGAAGGTCTCTTTCTATAAGTCTATAATATATAACTAAACTATTGTTGTATGTAAAGTAAATAAGGTTTTCAAAATGTTTAAGAAGCTTCATTTAAAATTAAATTAAAATGCAGAGTCCCCCGGACCGGTGGCCAGGACCCAGGCAATGTGAGTGCCACTGAAAATCAGCTCGCGTGCTGCCTTTGGCACGCATGCCATAGGTTGCTTACCCCTGCTTTGGAGACTGGATTGGGAATAAAATAATAGGTCCCCAATCTAAAACCAGGCACATGATAACCATAGCTATCCACAAGATACACTGACTGCATCTTTTAAATGCTTCTTTACACCTCAATGGACCCAAACTTAGAAGTTAAGCCCTGTCAGTATGTTGTTTCTTCATCATCATCTTCCTACTCTAAATCAACTGAACATTAGTACTACACCAAACTCCACTGATGCCTCTCTTTATAACACAAGGCTTATAATATGCAGAACAGCATTAAACTGGTATACAATAAATACATGCAGGTTACTTACTTTCTCTCTCCTTTGTACCACTCAAAGACTGGAGCAGGAACTCCTGCACTTTCACATCTTATCAGTCCATTACCTCCTAGCATCACACCACTGGATTTAAGTTCCTGAATTGTGGGGGCGACTGGAAAAAAAATTGAAGTGCAAATTTTAAAGAAAAATCACTACAGATTTATATTTTCATTTCTTCTACAAGATGCTTGAAGTTACTTTCATGTCTGATGGATCAACAGTACATTTTCCTGTTTGATTTTTGTGACAGGACTACTCCCATTCAACCACATTTCTCAAATTGGATATGGAAGAAGTTATCCCTGAAAGTAGAATATAATATACAGCTTTTATTTAGCTGTGTATCTCAGACAACAAACATATAATCCTGTGATATGAACAAACAAGTGTCCACTGCATGTTGCACTAGGAATTATTCAAAAATATTTTAATTGTATGTACCCTATAAATATACCTAATCCTTAAGAGACTTATACAGAGCCCATTGAAAACTGGAAAGACTCTAACAGGCCCTACATGCATATGAAGACACAATGCCCACAGACTCTGCTAAGATTTTCCTCTGTCTAAAGAATTCAGGATTAAACCAAAAGCGTGTAAAATGTGAACTGTACATACTAAAAGTAGAACTCACTTTCACAATTATAATAATTACGGTTTTTATATATAATAAGTCTGATTTTTCCCATAATTCAATATACACATAAATGTTGCATCCTAATCTAGTTTGCTCTCTTTTGCAGCTCTCTTTTTGCACAAAAGAAACATTTAAAAGATTAATATTTTAATTTACAGCAACAGATAAAAGATAAGTGATTGCCAATTTCTCAATTTTTCATGAAAATCCAACCTTAAACAGCACAAAATTGCACAAGAAATAGTTTAACAAGGGGAAAACATGAACAGATAAGCAATTGCCTTCTTCTTAGATTTTTTTTATATTTTATTAGCATTTTATGATGCATATAAATTATATTTAAAAATAGAAAAGAAACATTCAACTTATAAATAAAACTCCATTCATTTTTTTCAAGCAATTTTCCAAATGTTGCTTTAAACTATATATATATATATATATATATATATGTGTGTGTGTGTGTGTGTGTGTGTGAAATGACTCCTCCCTCCATTCTTTTTCATAATCACGCTCATCTTTAAGCTTGTCATTTAAGAGGCTATAATCTTTTATGATAGCCGACTTCTGCAAAGAAAGGAACAGCTATATTAAACAGAAGGTTCATGAGGAAGTTCTTTACATAGGCTAGTCAGTTTCATAATGCTATTTTATGTGCCAATAGGGACATGACTCAGTACAAACAAAAATATGTGAATCTCGTTAAAAGTATATGAAGTAGAATTATGATGTACTAAAATAAAATGTCTGGAAACAAGCATTAGTCTGCAGTATCCACTTCTATAGACCCTTAAAATAGCCTATACAGTGACTAATGCAGAAATTACCCCTAAGTATATTCACAAATATTTAAAAGGACACTTTGCCTGGCAAGAATTATTGCTAATGAAGGGCAAGATCCAGCTATTATTGAAGTCACTGGGAGTCTGTCTCTCCATTGACTTCAATGACAGTTGGACTGAGTCCCTGTCACAGGGTTTGGGGACTGCAGTCGAGACCTGTGAGGGGTTGTGTCACTGCCCTGTAACCCAATGCTTTGCTGCTGTAGCTTCCAGCCTGGGATGCTCCGAGCTAGCGTACAAGCATGCAGGTCACACCTTGAGTGCTTTTGTTCTAGACAGCCATAGTTCAGCAGCTCTGACCCCAGTAGCCTGTCTACAGCCCTACTCTGACTTCCACCAGCCTCGATTATAACCAGCAAGGTGACTACAATATACTCCCAGTCCCAAATTTCTCCCAAACCATGTGCTCAGCAATGTCCAGCCCTCTCCTGGACAGCTCAGAGAAATAATACGGTTCATTGTGCCTTTAAAGAGACAAAAGCGCAATACAGCTTATTAACTTAACTGAGGTAAATACACCCTTCCTTTGAAACAGAGCACTGAGTTGGTTTATAGTAAAAATAAAACAAATGTATTAAAAATAGCACAAGAGGAATAACATTAGAAAGGATTACAAGCAAACAAAAGTGAAAACATGCATCTAGAAGTCTAAAATGTAATCTAGCAAGGTACAGGCTTTGGTCAAGGTCATTTCTCTCACCAGTCTACCTTCTTTCCAGCCATGGCTGACTTTCCCTCAGTCAGGAACTTCCACGGAAGTACAAGGTGCTGGCTTCCCATGTCTTCCTAGGTGAAATATCTTTTTCCTAAGCAAGTTTCTCACCTATACACAATTCCCAGAGATTTCAACCGCTGCCTCCCCCTTGGGTGAAGGGCACATCTTTTTCAGCTTTCAGGAGCTCTGTTCCCTTGTGTCTCTCTAGCGATGGATGCTAAAATGGCTTTCTGGCTCTGCTTTTATCTTCCAAAGTTCAATGACTTAATTTCAAGCAGCAGAATGACCTCATGCTGTTTTTCCCTTCCTGTGGACTTCCCATCCCCCTATATGTAAATAGAGATTCCATTGTTTTGATTTCACCATGCTTAATTTACATAGGAGACAGGTAAACACCAGTGACATTCCCTCCTCCCTGGGAAACATCTGTTTTCCCTCTGTTTGGACACAGACTGGAAAGCCTAATATCAATGCATATCCATAATTCCTCATATAGTGTTAATACATACATTTTACAAAGATATTTACCGCCAGTGTGTCATAGGCTATCATAAAACATCTCACTCGATAAAACGTTGATAATACAGTAATACTGTATACAATCAGTTGAGTCAATTGCTTATCCTGGTCTTTATAGCCCAGATAAAGTTTCTCTTCCCTGCTGGAAATGGACTCCTCCACCTCTTGTTAGCTTGATAGCTTTGTTTACCTAAAATGTAAATGGGCCTTCATTGTCTCTCCCTGAAGGCTCTTCAGAGAAGCAAATACACATTCCTTTGTCTAGGGCAGACCCATTTACCTACTCCCTCGACTTATCTGTTTTAAATATATTTCACATATATTTAACATATATTTCACATATAATAAACATATATCACACAAGAATATTAATGATCAGTGAGTTATTAGATTTCAAACCATATATTACATGTCACCTTTTATATAAATATCATGACGCAGTATGTGAAGTATAGTGAGCATGTCAAGCCTGAGAAGAGCTGCTGACACAAGCAGTGAACCAGAAATGAGCTTGTGTGTCCCAATCCCATACATTGTCCCAGATCTTTGGACCTTAAAGGCAATTAGACACTGTAGTTTGACAGCATGGTGTGTTTAAAGTACAGGACTGGGAAGGGCAAACTGGGTTCTGTTAATGACTCTGTCACTGACTTCCTGTGTGACGTTGGACACAATCTCGCTGAGCTTCCATTTACTAAAGTATTCACTATTAATTAGTATTCCAGAGATGTGTGAGAGCTCATCCAATTTTATATTAATTTGGAATCTGGGAAGAGAAAACTTGGATGCTAGAAATATAAGGATGGAGCCCTGCATCTAATAACAAAACAGGAGAGTAAAATTTTATATGGGATTGAACAGAATGCATTATTTTCCATACCAATACATAGCACAATGTGAACTGGCTTCAGGAAGCCACCAAAAGATCTTTTCTCTCCTTTAGTTTTAGCAGCCATAACCACTCTCTCAAATTGTCTCTTTCCCATAATAACAGGGAGTGAATTAATCAGTCCATACTCTTTAATTGATAGTGACAAGATTTGCAACTGTGCAATAAAAAGGCATTCTCAATTTACATGCACTATTACCATGACTTAAAATCAGTGCCACATTTTTACTGAAAAGCATACTAATATGTGTAGTGAAAACTAGTAACCCTCATGGGACTAGAATCTGTACTGTCTCTGCTGAGAGATGCAGCACAGAAGGTTCAGTCTGAGACTGGGGGCAAATGCCACCTTTGTGCTGCCCCAATTCTGGGCTACCATGGAAACTGAAATAGCTTCTGGCATAAGTTAAAGCAGCTTTCAGGACGACTCTGTTTTTTGGAAGCTGTGTCTGGGTTTCTCTGGGTTGCCCTGCAGCTTAGAATTCCCATAGCACAAAGCACTATGTGCATAACTTCTCCCACCTCTAATTCACCCACTCCCACCCCCACGCCAAGGCATGTAAGGTGGGGCAGTATAGGTCTGCTTACATAAGCCCTACACTGCTACTGTGCAGAGGGATTTCCCCTGTGCCTGTTGCATCCCCTTTGAGGACCCTATATGCCACCAGAGCAGTGTGTGAGGGCTGGAGTTGGGGTCAGAATCCAGACCAAATTCTAGATTGATGATAATAAACAAACTCCCAACTTCTTTTCAGTTGTACTCAACCAAATGAAAACAGTTTAAATATGACATCTGTTTGTTACCCCTAGACCCCTTGCCTAACTTCCCTCAGTCACACAAAAAGCAGACGTCTACTTCCTCAGCTGAGCACCACCAACTGTTTCTGCACATTTCTCTTTTTTAAACAGTTTGTATTTAGGTCAACTGTGGATGGCTTTCTTGTAATTCTGATTCTCTGAAGATACCACCTTACAGGATTCTCACACCTCTCAATGGCACATTCAGAGACCAACATTCATAAGTGGCCTGGGTGGCTTGTGACCGCAGGGGGTTTGGTCATACTCTATGCTGCTACCGCTTCTGTCAAGAGTAAAAACAAAAAACCTTTAGCAACTGGGGTGTTCCACCAGGCTCATGCCAAGGAGTTAAAACCAGGAGTTAAAATCCTGCTGGTATTTTTAGAGAAATATTTCCTGTCTTTCTCGTTTAACTCACTTTCCTTCTCAAGCACTTTTCCTGCTGCCTATTAACTTTTCTCAGAGAGTGATCCCTCTTTCTCTCTCCATTAGGAAAGTCCAGCTGCCCTCAGTAATGCTTTTCTGTGTTGCCTTCCTTACTAACTGCTGAAATTTTATATAGCCCAGGTTAGGAAATTGAAAATAAATAAATACATCCCAGTGGTCACTCCCAAATGGCAGGTAACCTATTGCAATAAGTGCAATTATAAATTGTGTTAAACATCTAGTTACAATTACCTTTTTTAGTGAAGTCTGAAGCAAAATAAGCATTATA